ATAAACAATTACTAGCCTTTAGAAAATTCACTTGGCATGCCTTATTATCTCAAGTCTCGATCAAACTGCTCCAATCCAGGGGACTCAGCAGAGCCGCTTTACTGTGGCGCTAGAAAATGCTGTGTAGGTGAGTCTAGTAAACACACACTGACTCAGTTACGGAACACTTCCAACCACAATGATGATATAAATAACAGAATCTTCTCTGTGCAGTCCAGCCCTGAAGGAACTCTGAAGTGTCATACTCTGCCTCCTAGCAAAAAAAAAAAAAAAAAAAAAAAAAAAAAAAAATCCGCACTTCTTAGGTCCAGCAAAGAATTGAGTCTGATGGAAAATGGCTGCCACCGAAATCAGAGTAATAGAAAGGAAGGGCGGTAAATCCCAAATTAGCAGAAAGCCACATAAAGCATTTTGTGTGTGTGTGACAGATCTGCTCCCATGAAAAGAAACCTAAACAGACTTGATGAACTGCCAGAGGCTTGATGTGGACAAATTCAAGAGTGAAAAATGATTGCCTATGCTAACATACCCTTGTGTGTTCTAAGGGCCTCTCTCTGCAGGCCGTAAATATACTTGACGATTTGACTGTCACGATAGTCAAATCCTTATTTTGCACCTAGGGAAACTGAGGCACATGGAATTTCAAGAAGTGGATCTATATCACTTGGCTAGAACATTTTTAGTTTTGGAATAATGTTAGATTCACAGAAACATTCCCCCAGACCTCGCACTCTTAGTAATGACAAAGCTGTATTTGCTTGATAACAACTGCCAATCGCCATGCAGACAAGATGGCAAACACAAATCACTGATCCTGATCGATGCTCAGATATGTGGAAAGTCAGTCAACTCACTTCAAGAAATACCCCTCAGCAATCAAAAGGGAGGAAATCATGAAATATGCAGGCAAATGGTGGGATCTAGAAAAGATCATTCTGAGTGAAATATCCCAGAAGGAGAAAGACAAACACGGTATATACTCTCTTATATAGACCTAAAAGATATGATAAACATAATGAAGTCTATACACCTAAAAAAGATAATCAAGAGAGCAGACACAGGGTAAGATGATCAATCCTCATTTAGAAAGACAGATGGGATGTGCATTGAACGTATAACAGGAGTCTACCACAAAAGGCATCTGAAAGACTCTAACTAGCAGTGTTTCAAAGCAAATACTAAGACTCATAACCAAACCTTCGGCAGAGTACAGGGAATCATATGAAAGAAGGGGAGTTAGTATGATGGGGAAAGGATAGGAGCTCCATAAGGACCAAATATATCTGGGCACAGGGTCTTTTTTGAAACTGACACTCCACCAAGGACCATGTATGGATATAACCTAGAACCTCTGCTCATATGTAGCCCATGGTAGCTCAGTAACCAATTGGTTTCTCATAGTAAGGGGAACAAGGACTATTTCTAACAGGAACTCAATGGCTGGCTCTTTGACCTCCCCACCCCCCAAGGGAGGAGCAGTCCTGTTAGGCCACAGAGGAGGACTTTGCAGCCAGTCCTGAAGATAGCAGATAAAACAGGATCAGATGAAAGGGGAGAAGGTCCTCCCCTATCAGTGGACTTGGAAAGGGGCAGAGAGATGAGGGAGGGAGGGTGGGATTGGGAGGGAATGAGGGAGCGGGATACAGCTGGGATACAGAGTTAACAAAATGTAACTAATAAGAAAAAAATAAAATAAAATAAATTTAAAAAATGAAAAAAAAAGAAAGAAATACCCCTCAAAAGAAAAACATAGTGAGGAGGAGAAATAATTAGGAGAGTAACTAAGAGGCAGTATCAAAATGAACTTATTATGCATGTATGAAAATATTATAATGCAACTCACTATCTTATACAGTATACTCTGATAAAAAAAATGTTCTATAAAAACCTCACACCCTTTACCTCTCACAGTTCAGGAGTAGTCTTCACTCAAAACCTGGAATGAACTCCTTGAGCTCACCTCTCCATTCCAGCCACTGCTTCTCTGCACTCAGCTCTCCCCCATACCTAAAGATCATCCTAAGGTATGAGGACCTCATGCTACACAAGATCCCTGTAACATCATTCGTTAAAGCTCACCACGCCTTAGGCTGTGTACCACATCCTTCCCAAGACAGCTCCAGCCTAAAGTATTATGCTGAGCATGACTATTAGTTCTCCAGGTGAGGTGTGCTGCTAGTAATTAAACAGTATTAATCCCATCAGCTTTGATTTATATTCTGAGCTCTCAGTAATAAGGCTCAGCATTCTATTTTCTCTCTGACTAGCCCTGAGTAATAGAATTGGTGTTTAAGGATTATCATATAAATCTGTTTTTTTTTTTTTTTTTTGGTCAGTCAGTATTGGAGAATTTTTTTCAATATATTACAAATGTATTCATTATTCTCAAGTTCATAAAAATAATTAAAAGCTACAGGCTAAACACAAATTCCCAGGACATAAACATGATTGGCACTCTACTGACAAACAGTGAGGTTGCCAACTTCTGGGTTTGAGGCTTTAATGAGAAATTACTTTCATCTTTTCTTGAAGAGGACTCAGGTGGAAACCACTCCCTTCTCAAGAAAGGGACAATTTCCACTCAGCCTAGCAGAATAAAGCAGCCTTTTGGCATTTTGTGGGTATTTTTAGCAATCTGCCAATTGCCCATTTTAAAAGACAAACTACTCTTTAAGAAAAAAATAATTTTCTTAAATGTGATTGCCAAGATGTAGATAGCATGTGTTCACATGACAAGAAAAAGAAAACCTGGAAAGTAAAATAATCAAGGAAGAAAGAAATGCAAGTATATCTGTTTCTTCTATCACTGGGATCTGTAGGTCCCCGTTATATAACATAGACATAAGGCATGACCATTTCCAACATCAGATGGCCTTCCACATTTTGAATATGTCTACGGAGCTAAGATAATTAACAACTCCTGCTTTTCCATGTAAAGAATTGAAATTCTGGCAAAACACAGCCAATCTTGTTGTTTAATGCTAAGACAAACCAATAAGAACAATATTAGTTGAAATACTATAGGGGCTCTGAGAATTTTGCAGAGGGAGGGGAAAGTCCATGAGGGTTTTTATGTTCTCTTGTTACTATTGTTTGCTTGCCTTTTCATCTTAACCCTACGGTAATTTATGCTAAGTTTTATGACTAATTGTGGATCTCCACTTTGTATGGTCCACTTTTGGTTTATTCCAAAAGTTAGCCTGTGAAAGCCATAAAGGACTGCAAAGGGCCACAGCTCTGGAGAGGATCTTAGACACGAAAAACACAAATGTTTATTTCACCTGGTAGAGCAAATGGGACAGGCTGTTTTATCTACAATGGAATATTAATTGTCTGGTTTAGGAAAAGAAAACACAGTGCTCATTTGTATTGTTGTGAAATGTATGCATTTGCCCCATTGGATAAGTGATACTCAAAGCAGCATCCTAATTAAAAGGAAAACTCAGTTGCCGTGCGCGATAATATAGGAGGGCATATAAATTGTAAACAAGATGCATGGTAAAAATGAAAAAGACAGGCTAGATTGGAAAGGAATGAAATAAGCTTTGGAAATGTGCTTCTTAAATGAACACAAATTGTGAGATAATGTCTCATTGAACAATAAAAATAACAAACCAGTGGCAAAGATGTAATAGAATTCCCCATGTATACCATTTTAATCTTAATATAATTTTCCCCAGTGCATCCATGTTTATTGAACTACTATGACCGATTCTTTCTCACTCTGTCCAAAGTTACTGAGATTGTGTTCTCCGCTGTAAATAATTCCCTTATAATGCACATGAAAATGATCCAGAAATTGACCACAGTTTATAGCAGGAAAAATGACAGTGCAGCTCCTCACCGATAAAGCCCTCCTCGGACACCATGTGTACACACAGTTTCGTTGGGGAAGCAGCATGAGATCACAGGACCCTGTTTCCTCCTGGGTCAGCAACTTGACACTTTTCTTTTCTTGTCCGGACAATACAGAGGGCACTCCGAGGGAATTCTAATGTGTACTGTGTTGGATAAAGAGCTGATATGAGACATCCTGGGAGCAGTGAAAAAGTACACATTCGATTTAAGTATACAGGGTGTACTTCCTCAGGTTCTCAGTCTGCAAAAAGGGGTTGATAAAACTTCCCAGCACCACATACATGACAGAACCACATATAAGAAAGGCGTGCTGGAAGCAGAAATGGAATCCCCAAAGGAGTCTTGAACCTACTTGTGACTTCTGCTGAAAAACCTCAGGAAACTCCCAGCTCCAATCAACCCCATGGGCATTTCAAACATCTTAGTTTCCAATTATAGTAAATTCTTGCCTCTCCTTTGCTTACACTCATTTTGGCCATTTAAAGTATGTGTTTATTTCATGAATTTTTAAAATAAAAATTAATAGAAATACAACCAACCCAAGGTTCAGGGAACATGACAGAAGAGGAAGGGGAACAAATATAAGAGCCAGAGGTTGGTTCCAGTGTTATAAAATGCTGTCTTTTGGACATTACATGGAAATTGTACTCAGAAACTTACTGCAGATACTGTTCCTGCACAGGATCAAGCCACCAAGTTCAGTCAGTATTCTAGCAGAAATACTAATGAGGCTAGTCGATTTTGTTGTAGTTTGTTGTTGTCATCAAAGAAAAGGACATTTACGTGTGAAGGAAGAAAAGGAAGTGTGTTGGGGAGAGTGGGAGGGGCACCAAAGCAGAGTGTAAATAAATTCATGATACATCGTTTACATGCGTACAATTTTCAAATATAAAATGTTTTTAAAAGTAAACATTTTTAAATGTAAAAACATATAAAGATGAAGATCACGTCCTGCTAATCAGTTTGCTCTGAATTTACTGTTATTGGGCAACTGGAATCTGGGGTTTCGCTAGATATCAACACAAATACTTATTCTGGAGCTGAGGGTGCAGCTTGGTGGTAGAGTCCTTGCCTAGGAGACACAAGGTGGTGGGTTCCATCCCTGATGCTGGCAAACAAAAAAACAAAGCAAAGCAAAAATGTATTTCCTCCATTCAAAGCTTGATTCATTTTATTTTTTATTATTTTCCAAAATTCATCAGATAAAAGAAAGATATACATTTAATTAATTATTGACAAAACCTATTGTAATCATATTAACTAATACATTCAATTAGATATGTGATCAATTCCTCCTCTGTTGGGCAGAAAGCATACAAAAAGCTTTTACCTTTGCGATTTCATTTGAGATTACATAGTGTTAGATCAAACTTTAACAGAGCTCATCTAAGCAGAAATAGCTATGTACCTAAAGAAAGCAGATGTATAAAATTTACCCTTGTGAGAGTAATCTGACCCTCTAAGGATTCTGCTGTTAGAGTTTCACGTCAACAGTTCATTATCTTCATAAACTCACCATTATTTTTACAGGAAATTGTTCTAAGAATTTAGATTAAAGTTTTTAAATCGATCTAAAAATTTTTAATGAAAATCAGTTTCTGTAATTCTCTATTCACTGAGAGACTTTCTGATAAAATGCAATTAACACACAGAGGCTCTCATCAGATACATTGTCAGGTTTCAGGATTTATTATCACAGATCACTGAGAACAGAGGCAACTTGAGGTTGTCTGAGACATGATCAAACAGCTCTCCATCACTCTTCCAGCATAGAGGGGGCATTTCCGGATCACCTTCCCTCCAGGGGGCCTTCCAGGCCATTGTTCCTGATGACCTTAGCATATTCCTTGGCTGACCTGTAGGGGGCTCTGGGCCTGGCAGGATCTTCAAAATCAACGTGGAAGAGGCCAAACCTTTTGCTGTAGCCGTTGTTCCACTCAAAGTTATCCAGCAGTGACCATGCACAGTATACCTGAAGGTTGACTTCATCAACGTGGACAGCTGAAATGTTTTTTAAAAGAGCCATTAGCATTTCTGGGCAAGTTCCGAGAACAACAATCGCTGAAGAATGCTGGGTGCCTCCTTCTCCTGCTCTGCTGTGGATCTCAGTAAAAACAGACAAAATTCCTTTTTATCTTTTTAACCACTGATACAACACCGAAATAAAGTAAAGTGACATGGGACCTAACGAATGTTAACTATCTTGATTTAGTTATTTCACTGTATGTGCCTTCATCAAAGCATCAAGTCCCACAATGGGACAAAAAAAGAAATTTTTGTCACTTTAAATAATCCCTCTTTGCAGTTCTCTGCTGGATCTGAGCAGTAGCTTCAATTCAGAAGTTAAGTCACAGACAGGCATATGGGTGGCAGAATGCCCACAACCCCAGCACCAGATGTCCGACACAGGAAGCTGGGTGAAGGTTCGAGGTTAGTTTGTTTTACTTGGTAAACTGCAGATGATCCTGGATGGCACAATGAGACCTTATTCCAAAATTTATAGAAATTCTTTACTATTCTAATAATGTAATCAGTCATTTGGACATTTGTGTCATTCTTTCATTCTTTTAATGTACACTATTTCCCATGCCTTCTACAGCATATACACGCATACTCTTTCCTAGCACCTCGATATGTATTCAGTTAAAAACACCACCCACCATCACAGTATAGCTTCTAATAGCTGAGAAAAACCCATTGGTCAGTTGAAAGAGATGACTGGGAAGTCTGAAAATGTTTCTATCTTTTATATTCCCATAAGCAAACTGGTTCATGTCTTATAGCCCTGAATCAGAAACACCAAACTGAAAAGGCTGAGTACACAGCTCTGGCATGTTTAAGCACAAGTATAAAAAGCTTAAAAATGCCATAGCAACCTCCATTATTTAGTCACTGTAGCAAAACATCAAAAACAGGCCAATCATTTGTCATAGTTTAAAGAACAAGAAGTCCTAAATTGAGGCAATGGTAACGTCAGTATCTTGTGGGATCAAGATTTATTAATGACACCATCTTGCTATATCTTCATGTGGCAGGAAAGGCCAGTGAGCTGTATCATTTTTCTTCATATATGGTCAATAACCCCACTGATGCTGACTCCTTCCTCGTTACCTAATCGTATCCCGAAGTTCTCGTCTCATAGAACAATCACCTGGAGAACTATATCAACATAAATTTTGAAGAAATTTACATGTATTCTTTATTGCATTGCCTTTGCCTTCCATCTAGACACAGTGAAGCTTGAGGCCTTTGAGAACCAAAGACATGACAAGCCAGACAAAATCCCAGCATAGAACAGGGAGGGAGGTCCATGATGTTCCACCCCTAGATAAAAGCTATTTGCAGTTGACAGCTTCTGGGCCAGAGAATGTTAGTTCTTCTTGAGGTATGTGACCTCTGAGAGACTGTCCAGGCTCCAGTAGGTGGTCCTACAACTGTTCACTGAATGAACTCAAGGCAGCACTGAATGGACTCAATGGGTTAAAATATAAATTATTGAGGGGGCTAGCAAGATGGCTCAGCAGTTAAGAACACTGAACAGTCTTTCACAGGATCCAGGTTCAAATCCCACAACCCACATGGCAGTTCATACTTGTTTGTAACCTCAGGATCTGATACAGACATACACAGACCCTCACACAGACATACATGCAGGCAAGACACAATGCATATATATATATACTGATGAAGTGACAAAGTAGAAATTAAAGAGGAGGGAATGGAGCAGATTATTCGTTCAAAACACTATAAATATAGGTCTGAGGTTTTCAAATAATAAAAAGATTAAAGACAAACTAAAAACATGAATTGTGTGATCTAAAACTGCACATACATAAATACAATATACTTTATAATTTCATATGAGAGGTCTCTAAGCTTATCATTTTCCTCCATGCTAGGAGACCAAAGTATGGAGAAATTTCTAAATCATTTCACAGTTATTTTGATTGTTTGAGATGGGGAATTGAGTTTATGTTTCATGTTACTATCTTAAGTTTCTCAGAATTCTGAGATTGTGTGACTCTTCACATTGAGCATTTTCTTTTTGAAAATCACAGTAGATGAACTTGGCCTGTGATCAAGTGCAAAAATCAAGTGAAGAGGCTGGTTTGCTTAACAAAACGGCCAAATCCCTCAATAAGCAAGGAGAAAATGAACAATCGTATAATAAAACAGATTTTAATTGCACTGAGGTTTGTTTTCAGTCACAGTGAGTCCTATAGCTAAATATTTATCAAATGAAGCTAAACTCTCACTTTTTCCTTTGGTATCAGTTTGTATGTTTCAAGTTTATTAAGAAATGCTGTACTCCTCTTCTACTGTATATCTGTAGGGCTCCAAATCATAAGAGTGTTGTTTATAGAGTCAGATATTATGCAGACAAAATATCCCTGACAGGCTAGTTGATGCATGACCCTAGGTACAGTTGTTCAAAGAGACAAGCAAAGTGTTCTGATCGGAGTGTTTTATAAATGGTGTAGGGCAAGAATTAAGCCAAGCTCTGTTGACATTTTTAAATGAAATTATGCTTAGAAAATGAAAATGCATAATATTCAAACATATTAAACCTTACAAGAATAAAAATACTTATGATGCATCCCTTCTCCCTTTATCAGCTGTCATTTGCATGTATGCTTCTCCCTTTCCCAAGTATAAACTGGAAAATATCCTGTTTAATTTATATGCATAAGTATATATATTTATATGGAATCTAATTTAAGTGCAGAATGGCACACCTCTGTCTCAAAAGTAGGAAAGTCCAACTCGTAATGTCAATCTCTTTTGCCTCGTAATTCAGCCCGGGGCTACGTTGGAACATGCGTGCTTTCTTTCTGACTTGCAGAACTACCACTGCCCAACAAGAAAGGCTGCCAGGTACAAAGCCAGTTTCTGAAAACACACACAGTCCCACTGATCATACACAATAGGACTGACTCATGTGCTAAGCCAGGAGATAAAAACGAGGCCCTGTCTGCTTGGAAGGGAACAAAAGGAAATCTTGACAATTTCATTGTTAACTGCCAGGAGTGTGGCAGCAAGCACTAAACTGCCCGAGTGACACTGGTGGATGTCTCTGCATTTTCACTGCAGGAACACTCAAGTGGAGAATTACCTAGTTAGGCTCAGGAGCTAGCCTGCTGGAATCCTTCTCTCCAGGCCATCACTGGGAAAAATTACAAACCCACACCGGAACCTGCACGCCTCTCCTCTTCCAATCTCCTCGGGAACAGAAAGAGACCATCATCACATTTCTTGTCACCGTGATTTATGTGGTCCCAGATCTTGGCAGGGGAAAAAAGCGCTTCTGAGAATTTGCTTTCTTTCTTTAACCAGAGTTGGAGGCAAAGTCAACACAGACCAATAGGGGTTTAGACAGCTACACAGTACGGAAGATAAAAATGGTACCCATTGTAGAGTCAGAGTGTAATGTGGGACTAAAAGACTGTGGAAAGATGCAGAGTTAACATTTTAAGGCTTGCTTCCAGTCAAGCTCTTTTAGTTATATGAACTCCACATTAGCAAAATATGTGCGCGCACACACACACACACACACACACACACACACACACACACACACCAGGCATGAGAAACCATTTTTTGAATTGTTCATCAGGGTTTTCCAAGAGACTACCAAAACATTATAGGCAATTGCTACTGCCCTTGACTGCCCCCAACAGGTGGAAAGTCAAGTCTCATTGCCAGAGACAACATGCAGTTTAGACACAGGGACTAGAGGACCTGAGCTCAACATAACCTGAAAACCTCTTTCCTGAGGACTAACTTTCATGGTACCAGAAGATGCTATGAAATCTTCTAAGAGAGGGGAGAAAATGATAATCCTACCCATCTAGCATGCCTATGAACTGTAACAACAATAACCAGTATGGCACAGTAACCTTAAGGATACAATAGTATGCATAACTTGGGCGTAAAAAAAGCAGTTCTCTAATTGGTTTTAAGGCCTGATCAACAAAATAAATATAATGTCTGCTACTAGAAACCTAGCCAAATACCCATGCATAGTCATAGATCTTGACAGAGAACCTATGACTGTCACTTTATTAAACCAGTATTAAATCTAACTACATTTTAAACATGTGTCCTTATAACCATAGATAAGAGTAGTTCTCCATCTTCCCCAGTTGGAGTCTGTCTTAGTTAATACTTCGATTGCTGTTATGAAACACTTTGACCAGAAAAGCAAGCAACGTAGATAGGAAATAGTTTATTTGGATTACATATCCAAAGTCACAGTCCACTGAAAGAAGCCAAGGCAGGAACTCAAACCAGGAAGAAAACTGGTGGCAGAAGCTGATGCAGAGTCCATAAAGGAGTGCTGCTTACTGGCTTGCTTCTCATGGCTTGCCTAACCTGCAGGACCACAAGCCCAGGAGCAGTACTGCCTGCAATAGGGCCTTCCCACATCAGGCACTAATTTAGAAAATGCCCTATAGGCCGGTCTGCAGCCCAGTCTCATGGAAGCATTTTCTCAGTTTTGGTTCTCTCCCCTCAGTGACTCTAGTTGTGTCGTGTTGACAGAAAACTAGACAGCATAGAGCCCCCTCACAAAATTTCTGTTTACTGCTTCATATGACCTATATTATGTTATTCCCCTGTCAAGCCCTCATTCACCTATGGCTCTTCTATACTTACCTGTTTTCTGGGGTTACTCACATATGAGGATTTGAGGCTAAAACTACAGATTAGAGAGAACATACAGCATTTTGTTATGAGGCTGAGTTACCTAACTCAGTATAGTCTTTTAATATGCCCATCCATTTACTGCAAATTTAATTTTTTCTTTAAAGCCAAGTAGTATTTCATTGTCTACATGTATCACATTTTCATTATCCATTCATCTGTTGAAGGACATTTGAGTTGTTTTCATTTCCTGGCTATTGTGAGTAGGGCAGTTATGAACATTACTAAACAAGTACTCAGAATGGAGGATTGTCAGTCCTTTGGGAATATGCCAAGGAGTGGTATAGCTGGGTTTTATG